CGTAAGATTTGTTAAATAAAAGGGAACTCTTTAGCTACAATGTATCAATGTTATGTTATAAAACAAATGGTAAACACCACAGCGTACACTATTGAGTTATGGATGCACTTGGGAGGTTTGCTAAGCACTCAAGAAGCTAGAGTCGCTCTCGGCTATCGCCTCGAGCGACTCTTACGCTTCTTTCGTGCTTAGCAACCTCCCGCGTGCATCCATAACTCAATAGTGTACGCTGTGGTGTTTACCATTTGTTAATTTTGGATTCGCAAAATAGTTTGGAATTTTGAAAAAAGTTTTTTGGATTTCAAAATATTTTTTTGGATTCTTAAAATATTTTCGGATTTTGAAAAACTTTTTTTGGACTTCTAAATATTTTTTTTTTGGATTTGCAAAATATCTTTGGATTTGTCAAACTTTTCGACAGTAAGTTTAAAATAAATATTGCGATTTGAAATATTTTTCGGGATTTGAAAAATATTTTTGGGTTGTCCCTTTTCGGCTTCCGTAAATGACAATCGTCGATAGAGCAAGTGAAATCCGGACGTATCCGAGTATAAAAGGGAAAATTATATCAACTATAAAAATACATCTGCCTCTGTAGGAGAAAATACCTCTGTTTCTTGCATGATACCTAAAATCTTAATCAAATCACGCTCTCAACCAAAATATTTAAGGTCTCGAGCTCCTTAGCAAAGACTAACATAATAAAGAAGGTGTTTCCAATGCCATTACCTCCAGCATGAATTACAGCATCAAAACCTCCATCGTCTGCTTCTTTTTTCAGTCGATCCAGGCTGACTGCATTTACGTAGCCCATATCGCCATAGATCTATCAAACTATAGTGACGTAACTTCAATAAGGGAAGTTTGATCACTGGTTTAACAGGGAGAGCCAACGATGATTTCTTCGTAGCGAGGCGAGTGCGATCGCAAGCAAATTTTTTAATCAGGGGAAAGCTTTACCGAGATCTCGATATGATCCCACTTTTGCTAAGAAAGCGTCTAAATACGGCATAAAATCACTTAAAAGAGAAAAAAAAGTTTTGAAAAGTTCTAACGATGTGTCGGTCAAGCAGAATATTTTTCTGAAAATCCCTTTGGGAGTATTACGTAATATTATAGCATATTCTATGTATCTAGCTTAGTCCTGCTACATCGATGAAATTTTTGTGCGGAACCTCAAATAATCGCCAAAGAAAGCGCATTTGAACATGATGGAATACTACTAACGTTTTAAAGGAGGAGTTGATCAGAAAAAAAAAAATTTTATCACTGTAGCTATAGGGGAAAGGCGATGGCTCTCATGTATTAAATCTGATGTTGTACTTGCGTAATCATAAACACTTTTTTGTAAACCCTTCACACTCGTTCTGATTTTGTGCAGGAATAAGGGTAAATGGATCGCTTGCGTGACATTTCCAACGAGAGGCGTCAGCAGATCACTTAATGAACTCACCGCAAAAACTGGGTTGCCATCTTTGGTAAAGAAAGACATGACGTCACTGGTCCCATTGTCTGGCACACCAACTTGGTAGTAGTAGCGCTTGTTAAGCTCAAGACCTGTCAACTTTATAACGTGACGTAATATTAAACCCAAATAGAAAATTGCGTGACATTCCAGAAAAACGATGACACTGCTAGAAAATTGTAATGTGCGGGCTTTGTCTCCTTTCACAGATTTCTCAAGAAAGGAAGTTCGAAGAGTGCGTTCATTCTAAAAGCATAGACGGCAAATCATGATGGGTTTCAGTAAAAATGAGCAGTTCCTTTAGGACTCTCTGTGTGGCTTTGTGGTACCGAAATCACTTCCGCTATATGAGTCTAGCGGAAGCCATATAAATAGCTTACTTTCTGTTTTAAGTCGTTTTTACAAATATTTGAATAGACTCTTTCTCTCTGCATGTTTATCTTATGCAAATTTTCAATTTTTTCTGTTTTCTATAATTTAGATTACATGAACAAAACTCCGAGGCTGATGTAATAAGGTCTCTCAGGAAGTTCAGTGAGCTTTCCCAAGAATATTCAAGAACATTTTTCATACCTTCACATTATGAATCATAAAATAATGTCCCTCGTGAGTGCCAAACTTAAAAGATGTTCCAGTTTCCTTTCTGGTTAACTTATCTGGGCTGCTACCATAAGCCACGACTGTCTCCGGCTGTAAATCCGGCGACGGCGTTACGTAATTCACAATTCTCTCGCTGAGAATACCGGTGTAAGCGATGTGAATTTGCTCCGGCTTGTTGTCGGCAGCTACACTGTACGTGAAGGTGATTACGAGAAGAACCAGGACTGCAAACGTGGACATCGTCATTGCGACCTTGTCTCTAAGAGCTCGTTCAGCTACACTGAGCAGCTAATTAGATATTGAAGATCTTTGGAGCGAAAACTGCACGTGAAAGTCATTAGAGGGAATCACACGAGATTGAAAGGTGATACCCCGAGGCGTTATAGCGCAATACAGGAACAGGCATGCATTTATTTTACTAACTGAAATTGTCTGTTTCAGTATTTCAGCACCGATTCTTTTGTTTTACGCGCAACCAGAGGGCTTGAATAAAATGTTTGTTTGCGTTTAAGCATTTGCTGATGTTCTTCTAGCAGTATTCGTTTGTGAGCTGTGTGCGTACATTTGGCGTTTGAGGTACACTCTAAAATTGGAATTTTCATCATCAGTATGTGTAAACCTAAAACTTAAACTACACTGTGTTCATGCTCATGGCTTATTTTTAGAAAAATAACACGTGTTTTAACCCAAATCCTGTTTCCAAAAATTGTTATATAAAAAAAAAATTCGAAAGGCGCCCGTGGAGGACGAAATTTCAGAGATTGGCTACTTTAACAACTCGTAATGACTATAAATTTCATTTAACTTGCGGATTAACATCAAGCAAAGAAGTGATCCCACAGGTAATCTGCAATTTTAGCAATTACGACTACCAACTGAGCTCCGAAGTCTCACGTTGGAAACATTGGGAACTACTTCCTACTTTAGAAAACAACTAGGGCACATCAGTCATGCAACGTGCGTAACGTACCTATTCAATGATATAGGAAGAAAGGATTGAAATTTCCTTATATCAGAGACAACGTGGGAATTCCCCAAGGCTTAAAGAAAAAAATGGAAGAAACTACCCTCCACAGTGATGGATCCAGACCTCGAGCTAACGGGGGCCCCAGTTTTTTTTTTTTTTTGAGCGTGTTTTTTTTTTTTTTTTTTTGAGCGTGTACACCTGACGGCTTTTCTTCCCCTTTGCGATTTGTTTACCCAAAATAAGTGGGAGCCGGTCCCCGGGGCATCTCCCCCAAATCCGCCACCGCCCCAAACGATTGATCACCTTGGGAGCGATCACACGGTTTCCAGGGGAAATGGAGCTCGAGAAGAAAACAGAGAAAATTTACTGCTAATGAGTGGGGAGGGGGGGAGTCATTAAATACTACAGAGGGAGTAGGTAAATTTTATTGTGATTCAACAAAATCCCCCGACCCCCTCCTCCCAGCGGAAAAGAACGACTGATTCTCAATCAAGTCATTTGCAGGGTCAAACGAACGATTGACACATTATTTTGTGTTATGGTCACAAATATTTACAATTTTTGTCGTGTTACAAAACTACACGCTAGTATGAATGAGCCAAAATACAAAAAAAAATATGAGTGGTGATGTTGCGTAATACCAAAATGGCTAAAATGGGAAAATAAAAAACACGAAATATTCCATAAGTAAACTTTGACAACTACAGGCAAATCAACTGAGGAAAATTTTTAGACTAATACCTATTCTTACCTGTCCATTGGTTGAGCGTTTATTGCGAGGCATTTTAAAAGGAATCAAACGCCATATAGAGAATATCAAGACATGTTTAGTCAAATCAAGTCGAACGTAAAGATAATCAGCAACAGACAACAGATAAACTGAATTTTCCATAGAGTTCAGATTGCCATTAACTTGTATTTTCAATTTGCTTAATTGGAAGGCGGCAAACAGTTTGTATGAAGAAGAACACAATTTTAAATTGTGTTTGACAAAAGAGGTTCAAAAAATGTTTAAAAAGCTTTGGAGTGAATGGGGTGTTAGTGTACAAAAAAATAATTCGTTTCTTAAATGTTTTCCTTTATTTTAAAAATGTGGTTATTACAACACAAAGTAATTTACGAGAAAAAAAATTTTCACCGTCTAAAAATGGACAACAATAGGCTCCAAACGAAAAGATTACAAAAGGACCCTTGTTGAATACTGATTGAATATTCTTGAAATAAATAAATATGGAAAAGTAACAAAAGAATAACGCTGTCCTTGCTAGATTACAAGCGATATGACCGGTAGTATCTGAACGCTTGAGCAGAATATAAGGATGATATCTCCCTCTCTTCTGAAAAAAAAAGACGCATCATCCAGTTGTAATCGGAATTTTCAATTTAGGTAACATACATTGACTGAACACATACAGCGTGCTATACAAATTTAGAAAAAAAGGAAAAAAGAAGGCCATCTGCGATAGCAAAGCTGGGGGTAAGATAAACTGGATTAAGTGCATCATCAAAATAAAGCAGTCTCCAAATGCAATGCGACGTTCCTTGTTTTTCAGTTCGGTCATAACCGGTAATGTTTTTCAAAACACTTTGAAATAGATTATTTTTGACCCTTGTAACTTGCAAATTATGATCGATTTGAGGTTGATATATTACAAATAATCCGCCAGTAGCCCAGGCGAATAAATCCTCTCGGTGACAAACATAATAATTGGAAAAATGATGAATAGACCAACCTAATAGAAAAAGCCCTAGAAATGTCATCACCTCGAAGACGCTTATTTAAATTTTAGAATGAGCAAAGCAATTAAACCTCGCAAATTTCCTTCGGTGACTAATTTTGACCCATAAATTACCATGTTAAGGAAACAGAAAAGCTTTTTGCTCTCGTATCTCGGCCAAACGACTAACAAACCTCAGTAAAAAAAAGAAAGCGTGAAATATCATGGAGCTTCATGCAAAGTTGACAAATAATAAATTATTAAGGGGGAAAATAATTCAATTAAAGCATAAATTTATTGTGGTAATAATCCCTGAGTCGGACCCTGTGGGCAATGACGTTTATTTTTTTATATACCTGAAACGGATTTTAAGAGACACCAAAACATGATTGAAAAAAGAAAGTTTATTCCTAATCTACCGTCCTACACACAAAAACAACACTCCTCAAATTTTACGGAACGAAATCGTTTTGGCTAATTATAAAATTTTTTAGAGGAAAAAATAATTCGACTAAGGGCATGAATTCATACTGTAAATAATCCTCTTGCAGGACCCCCAGGTCCATAACCGTTGGTCTAGAGCTTTAAGATTTTCTTAGAGACATCAAAACATGACTGAATGAAAGGAAGTTGTTATTTTAAATTTATGTTTAACAACCAATATCGTGCACAATGTCTAAAACGAATATTACAAATATGCAATCGATCTTCTAAGGATTTTTGAGTTAACTAAACACAAGTGGTGTTGTTTTTCTGGGAAGGACGCGATTTCCAACTCGAATTTGTGGTTTGCGATTTGCAACTGGCCGGTGTTGATAAACTTCCTCTCAAACGTCTCCGGCGGAGATCTCTTCGGTAATTTAAGATATGCCGGATGGCCTTACGGAAGTCTGGCTTAAGAAACGAATATACGACTGGGTTTATGAGCGAGCCGAGCACGATCGTAAATAACGAAACGATCACTAAATCGTTCGGGATGAGCTCGGGACGTCCTAGTTCATGAACGACTGTCATATATTGAACAGGAAGCCAGCTTATGACAAACATCACGGCTACTATTATGAAAACCTGGGCGAGTTTTCCTTCGGAAGAAATCTTGCTCCTCCGTTGTAAATTTTTCCTCACCGACGCCGTGATGGCTCTCTCGCGTTCGATCCTTCTTTTTACTTGTAAAAAGATTCGCACGTAGCCTACAAAAATTAACACGTAGGGCAGCAAAACACACAGCCCAATTTCGCTTAGCACGTAGACCTTGTGCGCAAGCATGGTCGTGTTCGTTCCCCATATTAAAGGAATTAAAGAGACGATGAACGCAAGTGACCAGCTTGCGGCGAGTATTCCTTTAAAGTAGCTTCTCATGATATTCTCGTACTGCAGTGCTTTCAAAACAGAGACGTAGCGATCGAAGGTCACGGAAACAAGATTAAAAACTCCCGATAAAAGCGTGATAGAAATCAAGTAACCCATCTCGACTGAATGAGGTGAGACCAGCGCGGCAGGAATTAACACACTTCCAATCAAAAGATCGCTGAACGCAAGCGATACGACGAACCCGTTGGTATAAGTCCGCATGCTTTTTCGTAGATAAACAATAACACAAACTGTCAAGTTAACAGCGATGATTAGGGCTGACAAAAACACGAACGTGATGACAAGGGCCAGATTGTCCGACATAACTGGTGCATACGGTGTTTGGTTCGCCAGGGCTGGTTTGCATTAAGCGCCGGTACTTCCAGGCTTCGCGCACAAATCAAACAGGCTTTGTTTTGGTTGGGTTAATGTCCAGTATCTGTACGAAACACTGATCTCAGTCTACGCGGAACAAAAGTAAACTCATCGTCAGTAGGTAAAGAACTCTCAGAGTTCAGATTCACTTTTACCGGCATACACTGACAGCTAACAGTGTTCAGGTCAGGCGTGGGACTTGCAACTCATGAAAAGCTTCTCGTCTCCCGCTTAGATCAGTGATATTGAACTGGTGGTTGGTGTTTGAGGTGTTAAGTCACAGGAGTCCGGTAATTTACTGTTTGATTATCCTTTCAGAGTTCTTCACACCACCAACTGGCTTTGACGCATACGAAATCAAACTTTCCTGGCCGCAAGTGCTACAGTATAAGTCTTCACCTCGTTTTCACAGAAGCAAGCCTGTCGCGTAATTTCATGGTCAAATAAATGTGAAACCGCCGGTGTGATCAGTCGTGCAAAGGAATGAATTAGTGCTTTAAAGAATTCCCGACTGCTGATAATGGGAAGTAACCGAGCGCATTGGAAAGTGTCTTCAAATGGTTCAAAATCACGGAAAAACACTCCTTCCTCTTAAGCTGGAGCTATCGAATCGAACTGATCCTTAATTAAATGTGATGGTTAGCTTGACGCAATTAAAAATGTAACCCATTTCGAGAATATTTCTGAAAGAAATCGTGCCTTCGAAATTTTTCCGTGACGGCGTAACAGATCCAAAACGTGCGACAATTTATCCTGCGGTGAAGTAATTTATTCCGAACTGAAAGACTTTCACACTAACCGAGACAAGGAAATAAATTTATTCACAGCCGACAGGTGAAAAAGATTAATAATCAGAATGGATTTCCTTCAGATGGCCTTGTTCAATTTAGCAGACATTCAAGAAAAGAATGGCTGCGATCTTAATAACTAGCTACGAATTTCCTCGCTGACTCAACACGAGCACTAACAAATGACATTTCTCGGAGCGAACAATGACGCACCACGAAACAAAATAAAATTACTTGATTCTTAAATTTTGACAGAACTACAGAGTAAACGGCCTTACGTTGAAAAAAACAACATAACTAAATTGTTTTGATCCTCAATAATCTCAAGTATAGATTTCAAGAAAATCCACGAATCCCTACTCAAATTACCAAGATGACTCCAGCACGAACTCAGTTTGGCGTCCAATTGCAAAAATATTTTTACATAGTAAATGTGCCCTACAAATTAAAAATTTAACTAGAAAATAAAACATCGACAAGGGAGATCTTTTGTCCAATAAGAAATTTCTGGCAACAACCATTTTTCATATCCGCTGCATAAAAACGCAAATATTAAAACAAGTTTTGCAATAAGACCTAACACAGACAAAAAACAGTATTTTCAAATATTTCAAAGCTTCTAACTAATTCCCCTGCGAATAATTTGATTTTAGTCATACAAGAGTTCCCTTCATTTTAATTCGATTTATTATATCTCAGTGGGTTCCGTGGTTAAAATTTCAGTGTGAAATCAGGAGGTTTGAAGGTCTGTGCGAATAAAATGAAGGCCTGGATATTTTAACTGACCTTTGCAATTTCAGATTCAGAAAGGTGAATTTTTTGAATCGATGTTCTTAGTCGACATTCCTATTTAGAAAATTTAACTGTTGGTTGCAAACTTGGAAGAAATGCAGCTAAGGAAAAATTTAACACACAATTTTGATTTCGCTGATAAAAGGGCAAGTTTGGATTGTCTGTGTAGATTAAAATTTCTTTATTCCTTTATCCATTTTATTTTAATTACTTCATTTACTAAATTAAAGGTTAAAATTACCTATGCTCCGGCTTTTGTCGAGAAACGATTAAGAAATGAAAGCTGTGGACGCAGTTTGTAAATCAGTCGCTTGATTTGTTATCAGCGTTATCATTATAAGTTGAAAAACAGAAAACACCAACAGATTGTTACAAAAATGATCAAAGTGGTTTGCGATCGTCTTAGGCTCATTGCCCCAAAACGCGTTTCAATAATGCACCACGACAAAACAATCGCCATTGAACGATATAGTCTTTCATTTTCACGACATGCACTTACTGGAAAGAATAAAAGGTTACAGGGAAATATTGTTTCATGTCTTACTACTTAACGTTCTGTTTTGAACCGACAAAATTCCTCATGTTGCACGCAATTTCTGAAGTTCGAGAAAATTCTAGTCCTTACCAGAGTAAGTTTAATTAGGTGCAACACTGTGCAAACAAAGTAAAATTCTTGTTCTATTGGTCTAGACAATGTTAACTTTTCTATACATACTCTCCTTGTATTCTGTAATCAAATATTCAAATGTTATCATTACTCGCCGAATTCAAGTTTTATGGAACAGTGAGAAAAGATCAACTAAATGTGAAATGAGTAAAATTTCTTATTTTTCAACAAAGTAAAAGTTGGATTTCTTTAAACTAATCTTTGTAATTTAACCCGTTCTTAACTGACGTCAAATCCTCTGGAACCAAACTTTTATGGGGAAAGGCAAGTTCATGAACGAAGATGTTCTTAACGCTTAGCGATTACTGCGTCCAAATGAATGCTGAGATTGGCCGAGCCAGGACCAGGTCGCTCAAGGGGCATGTTGTTTGGCGCGACCTCGATCTTTGTTGTTGTATGAGATTCAGAGCCGAAAAAGCTTCTAAATTTCTCATTAAGTGGGGTGTTTGCGGACTTTTTTTCTTTCCATGAAAGGACAAGGAGATCTTTGATCAGTGGGGGAATGTGAAAACGATCGTAGATATTCCGAAAGGTAAAAAAATTTGACGAAAACCTTTTATTTTCACTTCACGAGTTCGTGCCGAAGTTTGTAACAAGTTGTTACCTTTTCCGTACCATCCCGTTCAAGGTAGATCTTTTGGAGCTCATCTGAAAATTTCATATTCCACGAATAACTGAAATGTAAGCCTTAAAACGACGGAAATAGCTGAGGAGTAACGAAAAATGCAACTCTCAACAGCGCAAGGACTCCTTCGAACGGATAATGAAAACAGAACCTTCTCAGGCATTCCTAGCTCACGTCTCAAGAAAAACTGAAGATTTATTTTGGTCAAGAGAATATATTATACCGCTTGTATTCTTATGAGTTTACATTCTCTTGCTTCAGTTTATAGCACGCGATTATCTGGTAATCTCGACAAACCAGCTTATTGACTATTTCTGTGAAATATCATGAGTAAAGTTATCAATTGTTTCCTTGAAAATCGGGTAAAGAAGAGAAAAAAAGGCAGGATTGTACATCACAGCTATGAAGGATGCTGAAGATGTCATGAAAAAAACGTTTTGCATGTTCTCCTTGGCCCATCATAGAGCAAAAGGTGGTCGCAAGCATACTTTTCTAGATGTTTATGAACCCTTTCGTGACTCTACAACAAAAAGGATCGAGGTCACGTGAAACGGAATGGAACGAAAGGTGTAGCCACTTATTGCGGACTTCTGCACGAACCCACGAACTGGAAACGAAGGTTTTTGTTAAAAATTTGTACCTTTCAGAACGTTTACGGCCATTTCCCCATTCCCACACAGATTAATGATCAACTCGACCCATCAGGGAAAGAAAAACGGCTAACAAAAAGACGATGTTGGAGAACTAAACGTCACATATGGCATTTCATCATTTTTAAGGTGTCTTGGCCTCCAAAAAGAGAACGTTTAATAGTTCATTCTTCTTAGTTTCCTCCACGAAGGTGGTTTTGAGCTCTTTTACATCACTCTTATGGTTGCGAATTCAACATTCACATTCGAATGGTTCTCACAATGTAACGGAAAAGTCCCTCTTGGTAAAAACAGTAAGAATCTTTGTCTTGCAAAATAATTCGGTGCACTTAAAAGCAACAAAGAGAAAGTAAAAACTAGATTGTTCAGTTGTCTGTGATGAGTAAAAATAAACGGCGAGAAAGTGTTTCATACCCTCTTTTCAGACATGTACAAAAAGCCAAATAACGAAGGCAGAGGAATATTTCTGACGAGTTTGAAAGTGTTTTGATACGTGATTGCGTTGGGTGTCCGAAATACATACATTGAAAAACTTGCTACTGACCAAAGTTCACAACAGTCATTGTTCACAGTTTCACAGTTCACTGTGAAACCGAAAATTCAAGTTTTATGGATCATCTATATCACAAAAACAAACCAAAAAAGCTGCAAACCAAGGCTAAAACTTTTATTCTACTTTGCGACTACACCAACATCTATATCACAAAAACGAACCAAAGAAGCTGCAAACCAAGGCTAAAACTTTTATTCTACTTTACCACTACACTAACTACACTTTTTCTAATGCTTAACAAAGTTTTCTTTCAAATCATTCAAAACCTCATGGTACTTTCAGGATAACTTTAACATCTTAGATGATAAAATACAATCCCTGATTTAAGCAAATTGGTATAATTGGGTATAATGGTTCAGACTAATTTGTTAAGAGAATATGAGAACATTTCTACTACAAATCAATGCCAAAGAACTCTAAATAAGTCCCAGACCAGTCTCGAAGCACGTTACTTCCACATCATCAAGGTTGGTCTACAGAAATAAAGATAAAAGATACCATACTTTGAGGACCAGTCATGTGGTTAAATATTCAGTTCTTAAGTTGAAAACACTAAAACTACTGTAATTGTATCTTAAGTAGCTGTGGAACGTCTGATCATTTTGATGTATGAATCAGCCAAAGTAATACTGTTAATTTGGGTGGGTCCAAATTCTAATTACCTTTTGGTTCATTAAGATTTCTATGTGTGAAATATGGTCGAGATAAGACGACCTAACTTACCTAGATAGTTACAAAATTAATCTTTGTTCCTGACAATAGTCAGGGTCTTTGTGTGTGTGTGTGCGTGTGTGTGTGTGTGTGCGTGCGCGTGTGCGTGTGTGCGTGCGTGCGCGCAATGGTTACATGTCAACCGAACTGCTTAGAGGAACGACTGTCTTGAGGTTAAAAATTATACGGTGTTCAGTTAAAGCTCAGTGTAGTAATTTTAGCTGATGGATGCTACATAGAATGCCGACACATCTTCATGTCACTACTACTCACCGACAGCATCCAACCTACA